CCACGCAACCCCCCGCGACTGCCGGTTCTCCCATCAAACCCGTCGCGGTTTATGCCGTCGCGATTCGCCATCTGCTGGAGAACCATCCGCATATCCGCCAAGCCCTCTGTGAGGTCGTCGATTTGCCGACCAAAACCCTCGTTTTGGCGCATGAGGGAAGCAATCGCTGCGTCCCGTCGCTCGTCGACAGGATCGGTCCTCTTCGGAGGCATCGTGGATCGTAGCTGGCTCTGATTACCAACTGATGTAGCGCTGCTTCGAACACAAGGGAAAACAAGAGATGAAACGATAAACTGTCTTCTCTTATGAAGAAGGGAATAAATAGCCCCAAAATCCTAGGTTTCCTAAACAAGCTAAACAAGGGAATAATATCTAAATAAATATTAAATAAAAACATGGAATAATAATAAAAGCTTACGAAATAAATAACTAGACTAAAGAAGGCATCCGGTCGTATTTCTGTAGAAACGCCATCGCGATCCATCACATAGCCTATATTCCAGAAATCAATTCTGGAACTAAACATTGTTCCAAAAAGAATTTATGGAATTAAGCAAACAAATTGTTTGAGACACTTTTTCGTAGAATTTTTCTTCCATTCCAGAAACGATTTTTGGAATAGAGCATTGTTCCATAAATATTTTCTGGAATTAAACAAAAAATTGTTTGAAAAACTTTTTTGAAGATTATTTTTTTAAATTCCAGAAACGATTTGAGGAACTGAACATTATTCCAGAAATGGTTTATGGAATTAAACAAAAAAAAAAAAATCTAGAATAATTTAAATTTTTTGTTTTTGAAATTTCTCAAACATATTAGTATTCCAGAAATGCATGCGAACAGTAGGGAGGATATTAAGGCGGCATTGACCGGTGCTATTGTAGCACTTGCTGGGTTAAAAGATACAATTACGGGAGAAACACTGTGTGATCCTGATAATCCTATTGTTCTCGAGCGGATGGACTTCCCGGACCCTGTGATTAAGGTTGCAATCCAGCCAAAGACTAAGGCCAATATCGTTAAGATGGCAGTTGGGTTGCTTAAGCTAGCTCAAGAAGACCCTTCTTTCCACTTCTTGAGAGATGAAGAGACCAATCAAACAGTTATCGAAGGAATGGGAGAGTTGCACCTCGAGATTATTGTTGATAGGCTCAAGAGGGAATATACGGTCTGTTTCTTCTCTAAATCTTGTTCATCATTTCTAGTTATTGTACATAAAATTTTTACATTATTATTATTTGACACACTCTTAAAAATTCTCTATGGTCGCAATTTCATATATATATATATATATATATATATATATATATAATCTATGATAGGCCTCTAAGCATCTCCAATGGCTCAATGTCTATTTTAAGATTTATGGTTTGGAGAAAGGAAATAAAATTCTTTTGTCTCCAATGGTTAATCTCAATTGTGAGATAATTTGACACGTGTAATATAATAATTGGTTGATAGAAATATAAATATAATATAAACAATATAATATAAAATAGAAGATGTCTAGAAGTCTTTCTACGAAAGACTTCTATAATTATTGAGTGCCACATTGGATTTTGGAGGCTAGGTGGCAATGGAAGAAAGCAATTCATGTACCATTGGAGATGCTCTAATTTTCGGTTCCGATCTCTCTCGTGCGTGTATTCTTTGGAAAGAGGTAAAAAGGCTGACCTTAGATCGATTATTATGTGAATTGTGATTTTTGGGTTCGGCACTCGTGAAGTTGGGCCCACACTGGTTAGGCATGCCGGCTGCCTTGTGAGCACAATGTACGTGCACGTCAAAGTCGCAATCCTAGCAGGCGTAGCAAAACCCGGTGCCGAGAAAGCTGCAGTCGTTGCAGAAGAAAGAGGCCGACTGGTAAGTGGGGCACGAGACGAGGGTCAACGGGTGGTTGAGGGTCCGGGCGGCCCGAAAGCAGTGCTCATTGAGGAAGTAGTTGCATTGCAAACAGGCGTACAAAGGGCCCGGACGGGCCGATTTGCTGCCCGAGCAGCGGGTTTTGGGCCCGTAGTGGAGGGAGAGGTTGTGGGGGTGGCTGAAATGCTTGAAGCCTTGAACTCCATTTTTTTTTTACTTTCCGAGTTTTTTTTTTTTTTTTTTTTTTTGTTTGTTTTGTTTGTTTGGAAGTGTGATGGGTGTGTTATGTATGATGGTGATTAGAAGGTATATGTATATAGAGGCATTTTGTCAAACAGGTTGTGAGCAAATTGGGCTTTTAAAGAGTTGTGAATAATGTGCAAGTGTAATTGTTTTAGGTGTGTGACTAGCTGTGAGATGGTTGATAAAGTTGAATTTGTCAAAAGTCAAAACTCACTAGATGGGTTCTTACATTTCAAGAAAGATAAAATAGGGAGAGAAACTGAAGACCGAATCGAACTAAACCGAACTGACGAGAGAATAAATCAAACCTTACCTCATTTATAGTTATCGATAGATGTTCAATTCGGTATCGGTTCCAAAACCAAGGTTTGATTTTACCAAACCGAACAAATAAGGAATTAAAAATAAGATGAATGTGGTGAATGGATGTTTGCTGGTATTATTGATAGATGAACGTTGTAATGTTGTTATCTTTGGGTTGTTGGACTTTAATCATGTTGAAACATGTTGGATGAATGTGGGACTTAATCAAGTTGCATTATTATTACTGAACCTCGATTATTTTGGTAAGAAACCATTATCGAACCGCGTTTTCCGTAACCAAACATTTGGTTATTGATTACAATCCGTTCGATAGGTTTCATATTTTGTTGTTACCGAAATTACCGGTTCGGTATCGGTTTGATCTTATCGGTTCGGTTATACCAACCCTAATGGTAATATATAACTGGATTAATGATAAATATATAGTTTCACATTTATCATCAACTAATTCATAGTCTCTTTTCTATAATTATCCAAATAGCAAAGCTTGTACTCACCTGCTTGAGTGCCAATGGAGAATCACTGTTTAGGAGAAACAATCCCTTCTTACCTTCTTTCATGCACATATGCAACAATTCAGCACTCTATCCTTTTCAATACTGAATCTCAGATCCCCAAATGTCTCCCGATTACACATAACCCCTTCTTTCATTTCCCCTAATTACGTTCGATTCGAGGTTCGATTCCCTAAAGCCACCTCTGGAAGCTCAATTGTAGGGGCTAATTATTGTGCGACTAACTGAAAAGACAAACTGGAGAACTCATGATGGGCACGGAAAATAGGAAAAAAAAAAAAAAAAAAAAAAAAAATCATCAATGTTTAAAAATCTCTACAGTCCGGAGCAAACTAAATCTTGTAGCTTCACCCTTTTTATTTTAAATTGTAGGTAACACAATGTATAATGGATATTGTTATGCAAATTGAGGGTGATAAATATGGACCAATAGGAAGCAAGAAGACCGGGGGTATTCAGTTTGCTTCCGCTGGTTCGGTCATAAATTGCTGTTCGACCATCGGGGGCAACAGAAGAGCGAGTCGGGTTTTGTATCTTGTAATTCGTTGAAGCCGTAATTCTCTTAGCCTACGAAATTGCAGCCAACAATGTCAAAAACTGTCACAAAAAATCCAATCTATAGAGAACGACATGAATAGCGACTGGAGTAACCGGGACTTGGTTCTCTTCATTCGGATAACTGAAATAACTTTTTGTTCACTATCAAAGCTATAGACTTAGCAGTAAAATTAACCAGACAATTTCTGTGCAAATACACATCCTAAGCCTTGCATATGGGCAAATTATCAGAAGTAATGAATAAAACAGCCATTCAGGTTCCGAATGCCAAAAAATGGGGGGAGAAGGAAAAAACGAAATAGAAATGACACAACCACATATGATATTCTGACAGAGTTAGCAACTTACCGTGAACGAACCTTCTTGGCATGTTTGATATGTCTCTGCAAAAGCTCCTTTTCAGACAAATTTTCAAGAGAGCCTTCATCCTGAAATTAAATGACAACCAATGTATTTGTTCCGCTCTATCATACAAAAACAGGTTAAGAAGCAAACGAAACTGACAAGAGCTCTATCACAAATATACACCACGTTAATATATGAAAATATCTTGAACTTGGCAAGTATCACAATCGGATCACAAGAATCAGAGAGCTTCACTTCACCAAAAAAAGTTTAAGAAAAAAAAAAAGAATCTTGCATATAGTTCATTATCCTGAATTTAATAAAACTGTACTCTGGCTCCAAGAAAAAAAGATAACAGAAAAAAGAAAAATCATTTTGAGAGATGTATTTACAGCTGCCAACCTCGTCTTCGTCTTCTTTGTGTTCTACTTTATCTGGTGAATCAACAACCTGTGCAGCTAAAGGCAAAGGTCTGGGGAAGAGATTTGACGGTATCCAAGTATGTTGGCTTCTGAGAAGAAGAATATTAGATAAAAAGGTAGACTTCAATCGACCAATGATCAAAATACTCAAAAGATCTACTTTAACATCTTGCAAAGAGTAAAATAGACAGCAAAAATGTATACTGCCAGACAATAAGAGAGAATAGAAAACAACGAACTAACAGTGGATATGCATATCTCTTCCAATTTCAGCACATATTATACTATTCACTTTCACAGAAAATATACCACTATTCTGCGAAATGAAACGATTTCCATGTTTCCTATGTTTCAAATTTATAGTTCTTTTTTCCTGTTTGCCTATTTAACATGTCCCTAACTACTCCTTTTTTAAAAGTTGACTTTCCTTCAAAACATTCACTCAATTGAAGGGACAATTAAGACCACCAACTCCAAGATACAATGGCCAGAAAGAGTCTAGTCTTACAAAATTTTACTATTTTTCAAATCTCATTGACGGTCTCATGAGCGGTCGAACTGTATTCATTCAAGAAAGATAGTTAAGGAGTCAATAGTATGATGGCTCAGATTGTAAATATCTGAACAGATATAATGCAATATCTGGAAACAGATAGATGCAAATTCCTGTGTAATGCATTATCAAAATTCGCACAACTCTAGCTTGTCGTGGTAATAATTTAAAGGCACAAGGAAATGGCAGGGGAGAACTGAAATTTGAAAAAGGGTCTCCCACATAAATTTTACTTGGTAAACATAGAGATTCACTCTGCTAGGACCAAAGGACAGCATACTCAAATCAAAGTTTTACCCTTTGTGAGAAATACTAATAAAAAGGTTCCGAAGTTTCCAAAAACATACTTGAAATTCTTCAGGAAATCCATTCCTCAACCATGACCTACAGAGGGCATAAAGTGATGCATTATCAGTTATCCGGACCTGCAACATAAAGAAGACGGCCTCACAAACATGAATACTATGAAATATTGACAAATTACACATATCGCCGAAATACATGTAAAAAATAAAAATGACAATGAAAAATACAATATCTTCTTTTAGTGATGATTTTGAAATGTTATTGTGCATCTCGATATAGATATGTCATTTGACCCAACTTTCCTGTAAGACGAACATAAACCATAATAATTACCTTCCTATCCTTGACAACTGCAAGAGTATCATCCCTATTTCTATCCCTGCAAACAGAATAAGAACTTTGTCAATCTTGTATCATAAACAGCATTGTAATAAATATATATATATATATATATATATATATATATATATATGTGTGTGTGTGTGTGTGTGTGTGGTTAGTATCCAAAACTAAGAGAGAACAGAAATGTCAAACAAAAGTTTTACCTTAAACTGTTGTGTGCATTATTATCAGAGATTGAAGTAGAAGGTGGACCAGCCTAAATAGTATTCCAACATTACCATAAGAAATCGAGCAAAAGGGAATTTATGCTCAGTGAGAAAATAAGCATATTGAAGACTCCAAACAATTTATGTTAAAATTACCGTTAAACATATGTTATCTAACTAGTCCACATAAGTTCTTTTCTAAATGCATGGATTCAAGACAGATAAAAGCTACTTAATACTTGCTTAATTCAACAAAACAAACAATCCCACGACCCAGAACTAGTTCATCGAAATTCATCTCTGAACAAGAAACAAAATAATGGAAAGATTCATAAGGGGAAAAAAGAAAGAGTACCATTGGGTGGTGCAAGGGGGAGACTGGAATCCCTTTAATCACACCAGAAGCATTACCGGCGGGACCCGGCCCGGACCCGAATATCACGTGAGGCAAGTGGTTCGGCCTGAAGAAACCCGGGTTGCCCTGACCCGGTTCAAAATACGGGAGAACAAACGGCGGCGGCCTCGGGGAGGGTCCGGCAGCCGGCAGGGGCAGAGGCCTGGATACAAACTTTCGACCGGAGGATGCAAGGGGTACATAGAGTGAGGCGGGTCGTGAGGGTGAGGGTGCCGAGGGGCCAATTGGGGGAAATTAGGGTTGGGATTGGAAGAGAGCCTGGAAGGAGGCGGTGAATAGAAGGGGTGTGGGTTTGGTGGAGGCGGCACTGGGGAGGGGTTCTGGAGGACCGGCCTCGACGCTGCATATGCGACGGCGCTAGAGGCGTCCGGCGGTGGAGGGGTGGAGGGGCACATGATCGGCGGCGGGGCGGAGGGGTGGTGGCGCGGGTTTCAGATTTTTGAACTGAGCGAGGTGCTTTTTGTTTGAATTTTTTTAGCTTTTTAGGTGCGGCTCCTTTTAAATACACAAAAATATTTATATTGCATTTCAATATAGGGAAAACAAAAAAAAAAAGCATTTCAATATAAGAAGTATATTTATTAAAAAAAGTATTTTTTTTTTTTTTTGAGATGCTACGGTCTCGTTATGGAACCATTCCGTCGAGGTTTGTAACCGTTAAATCATAATGTAACCGTGAAAATTAGTTGATCTAACGATTACAAACCCGACGGAATGGTCCGTAACTGGACTGTATCATTTTCCTGTTTTTAAACTTTTGCCAAATTGTGCAGTAACCTGTGTTTAAAAAAAAAAAAAACAAAAAAAAAAATGAAAACCCTCAAATTACGCGACAGAATTAATAAATCAACATAAAATTCATACAATCGGTAGACAAATCAAAATTTAGCTCAAAAATAACTTAGACATTTTATTTGCAATCTGATCACGTGCATTTGTCACAGACGAGACTTTTGTGCAGCACTATTCAAACCTTACGGGATGCTTGATATAAAAAATTTTGGATTTGTCTTAATTTCAAAATTTTGAATTTGTCTGAATTTTTTGGGTTTGTTTGATTAGTTTTGAAAAAATATTATTATTAATTTGTTAGTAATTACATTAAAATAATATTAAAAATTAATTAAAGTTAATTTGATATAAACGTAGGGGAGAAATGATTTGAAATTATAGTGAGTTAAAATTATATAAGTAGATAAATAATGAATTAAAATTAATGTTATGAGTAAAATGAATGATTGATATGTATTATTTTATTATATTGATAATAGTGAAGTTAAGTTAATATTGAATTAAAAAAGAATGGTTGAATTGAAAATGTTTGGTTTTTTAAAAAAGATTCCTATCTATATTGTTGTCTTGTTAAATGTCTACAAACCAAACCATTAGGGGAGCAAAATCAAATTAAAACAAATCAAACCGTGGAGTTTTGTGCATTGTGTTTTGGTTTTTTGTAGTATAATACAGTTCGATTTTTTATTTATTCTTTTCGATACTATTTTCGATACTATTTCACACCGAAACAACATCAAATTAATTAAAAAAAAATAAAAAATGAGTAAGCCTGGAACCTCGGTATCAAAAAAAAAAAAAAAAAAAAAAATTGAGAAACTAATCATGCATTTTAGTGGGGTTCGTTTATATTTTAGTTCACAAACCCTTTTTTCCGATTCTATACGATTTGCACCGAAGAACATCAAATTGGATATAAATGTAAAAAAATCGAGTCAAAACCAAAAAATTCGTGCTGAACCGTGCATTTCAATGGCCAAAAAATCGATTATTCATTTTTTTTTATATATATATTTATGGTTATTTGGAGAGTGCTTTTTTGTCATATATCAAAATTTTTGAGTTTGAACTTTCATCAGAGCTCCCAACAACATTTTCATGGTATATGAGATGATAAAATGAACACGTTCCATGAAAGCTCAATCTCAGCTACCAATCACAGGTCACAAGCACATAGGACACACCTCCATTAAAGCTCGCCTGCAATTAGCTCGAGAAAAAAGAAACCCATCAAGATCATGAAGCCAAAACCCCCAATTATCAAAGCCAAAATCCCCCTAACCATCTTCGGCCTCCCCTTCTCCACCGCCTCGGTCGCCGATGGCGACCGCGACGAGCTCTGCATCAGCTTCAGCGGCGGGCTCGGGTTGGGTTCGATGCTTAAATTCAGTTACAGGCCGAACGACCCCGGCCGCACGTTCGGCATGTCCCTGAAGACCGGCGCCGGGATACTCGGTTCCGTGACGGCGGAATTCGGCTCCGTCGGCGGCGGAAGCCCCGGATTTCTGCTTCACTTCAAGTCCAGATCTGGAGATTTTTCCGTTCGGAGGTCAGTGGAGGGACCGATTATCGATTTATCTGTATGTAGATCCGAGTTTCCGAGGATCCAAAACGCTGTCGTTTTGGGGGAGGAGATGGGTTGGGACCGGCTGTTTTCCGGAGCGTGCGGGGCATTAAGTGGTGGTGAGGTCCGGGCGAGGACTTCGGTGATAGTTAGTCGAGCGGCGGTGAGGCTAGGGTGGAGCGTGAGGTTCCCGACGCCGCCGCCGGGCGACGGCGGCGGCTCTGGAGCTGGGTGCCAGCTGAAGGAGATGCCGCATTTAGTCCTCCGGCAGATAGCCATCGAGCACACGGCGGCGGACGCGGCGGTGAAGGGGGAAAAGTGCGCTTCTGAATCGGAAGGGAATGACGTGTCAGGGCAGCGTTTGGGATTGACGCGCGAGAATCAGCTAGTGAAGTCGGGGCGGGGAATGAGATAGTTGATCAATAATTATTAAATTATCTAGCATATGAATTAGTTAGTTATGTAAATTTCTTGCTAAATAAATAAGGGAGATGCTATAATCGCGTTACGGAACAATTCATTTGGGTTTGTAACAGTTAAATCATCAATTGTTTGGGTTGATGTAACGGTTACAAATCACGATAGAATGATTCCGTAATGGGAACGTAATATTTCCCAATAGTTAGATGTTAGCTAATACCAATAGTTAGATGTTAGCTAAAAATATCAATCATTTATTTGAAAAAAATGCCAATATATTGATTTTTTATAAATTAGGATCCAAGACGTTATCTCAAATTACCGTTGTTTACCTAATAGTATTAAAAAATTAGTGGCTTGACCGATTAAATTCTAGTTCACACACGATTTTTACCAAACAAGAGCGATTAAATTGACCTTAAATTTTATTATGTTGGTTAATAGTTAGATAATTATAGTATTAAATGAAATATTTACTTTTGTTGTAACATGTCATATCAAATTTTTATTCATATAGTTTTATATACGTATGAAAATATTAATATAAAAATATATAAATCCGCTACTATTATTAATGAAATTATTCCGATTTTAAGTAGACTTCTAGTGTTCCAAGCACCTCGCGCCCTCTAATCATACATAGACGTGGCCAGGTGCCGGGTCCGGGCCCGGCCCGGCCCGGCCCGCCGGGCCACGGGTCCCGAAATGCTTGAACCGGGACCGGCCCGGTTGGAACTAAGGGCCGGTCCGCTGAACCGGCCCTGTACCGGCGGGTCTGAAAACCGCCGGTTTTCAGCCGGGTCCGGGTCAGACCCGCCGGTTCCCGGTTCTTTTTTTTTTTTTTTTTTTT